TCAGATAAAATGAACATTTCTTAATTTTAAAAATATATAAAATTAATATTAAAATAATATTATAAAATATAATATTTATAAAAATATAAATATTCAACTTTTTAATAATTTTAAATATATATTTAAATATATATTAAATAAATTAGAATAAACATAGATTATAGAAAATTAAATTTAAAATTAAAAATCTATTAATTTATAACATATATATGTATTTTAACATTTCATACACGTACTTTTACATTTTAACACGTACTTTATTGTTTTATAAATATATTTAATAACAAATTAAACAAATAAATATAACATTTTAGAAAAATTTAGTGCAAAAAATTAAATTTATGTGTTAATATTCAATTAATTACAAGCTCCAATAAATTTGATATATTTTTTAAAAGCATATATCTTTAAAATTTATTTTTTATTAGTCAAAAATATTTATATCATACATATATCAATTAGCAATATATATCATAATTAAAAAAAATAATATGGTTTTATAAAATAAAAAAAAAATTATTAATTTTAATTTCTTAGATTACTTGATATTCTTAAATTACTTGAACATTATTAACTATAATAGCATAAATAAATAATAAAATATTAATAAATACCTAGTCATAAGATCCTCAAGAGGTTTTGGACAATCTTCAATTAAAGGAGGTCTTTGTCCTATATGTACTGCCCACATTATTCTATAAGCTGAACCACCAATTTCATCAAATGGTTTTTTCCTTGATAATATTTCCCATAAAATAACACCCCAACTAAATACATCACATTTTTCTGTATATCTGGAACCCTCAAATACTTCTGGAGCCATCCAAGCAGCAGAACCTTTGTTGTTAGTCATATAAGTATTTAAATCACAAGCAGTACCAAAATCACAAATTTTAAGAGTTTGTCCACCCATTACCAACAATAGATTTGGTGGTTTTAAGTCTCTGTAAATAATAATAAAAAATAAATAAAAATTTTAATGTTATAGATATTATATATCACTCATATAATATATATATAATTATATCATTTGAATAAAATATGTGTAAATATATTTTTAATAAAAAAAAAAGATATATATATA